TTACTTTATTTTTTCCATCACCATTTATTCCATGTCCTCTTCCACCTCCACCCATCCCCCCCCACCCCACCCCTGCAATCGCCACACTGCTGTCCGTGTCCATGAGTTCTCTCTCTCTTTATTTTTCTTTGCTCAATCCCTCCACCCCACCCCCAACCCCTACTCTCTATCTATGAATCTGTCTCTATTTTGCTTGGTAGTTCAGTTTGTTCATTGGATGTCACATATGAGTAAATCATACGGTACTTGTCTTTCTCTGACTGGCTTATTCCCTTAGCATGATGCTCTCCAGGTCCATCCATGCTGTGCAAAGGGTAAAATTTTCTTCCTTTTTACGGCAGAGTACTATTCCATTGCGTAAATGTACCACCGCTTTTTTTACCCACTCATTTACTGATGGACACTTGGGCTGCTCCAAATGTTGTCTATTGTAAATAACGCTGCAGTGAACATATAATCTTTCAAATTATGGTTTGGGGTTTCTTGAGATAAATTCCCAGAAGAGGAATCATTGGGCCATAAAGCAGCTCCATTTTTAATTTTTCCTAATTCTGTTTTAACTCAGTCAGAGCAATGGTCTGTGTTTATTTGCTCACTCTTAGTTTGAGGTTAATGTTAAATAAACCAGCACTCAAAGGTGAAAAGCACATCCAATTTTTCAATTTTAAGACAATTTTTTTTTTATTGATTTCTTTCTTTTTGTTTTTGTTTTTCTGGTTTGTTTTTTTAGAGAGAGAGAAATATTGTTCTGAGAGGGAAACATTGATCAGCTGTCTTTTGCACGCCCTCTACTGGGGATTGAACCCACAACCTAGGCATATGCCCTGACCGGGAGGGAATTGAACCAACAACCTTTTGGTGCATTGGAAGACACCCAACCACTGAACCATACCAGCTAGGGCTGTAAGATAATTTAAACCAAAAACTTCAAAAAGCAGCTTAGTATTAAACCCTCTAGATCAGTGGTTCTCAAACTTCTGGCCCTTTAAATACAGTTCCTCATGTTGTGACCCAACCATAAAACTATTTTCGTTGCTACTTCATAACTGTCATGTTGCTACTGTTATGAATCGTAATGTAAATATCTGATATGCAGGATGATCTTAGACGACCCCTGTGAAAGGGTCGTTCGACCACCAAAGGGGTTGCGACCCACAGGTTTAGAACCACTGCTCTAGATAGTAAACTAGGTCTATCTTTAGAAAAAAAAATAAGTTTTATTATTATAACTTGAAGAGGATGTTATAGAAATGCCGATGCAAATCACAAGGAAGACTTAGAGTGCCATATAGATATAAGGAAAGTTATCAAACCCTGGCCTAATTAAAACAGGTTTATCTCACATATCTTCCCAAAAGGAGGGGGGGGCGGGGGACAGTACCAAAATAACAGTGACATTTAAATTGAATTTGCAAACACAGAATAGTATGGAAAATTATCAAAATCCAGGATCTCCAAAAGATAGAGCAAAACTATCTTTCTATCCATTTTTTTTTAAATATATATTTTATTGATTTTTTACAGAGAGGAAGGGAGAGGGACAGAGAGTTAGAAACTTTGATGAGTGAGAAACATCGATCAGCTGCCTCCTGCACACCCCCCACCGGGGATGTGCCCGCAACCAAGGTACATGCCCCTGACCGGAATCGAACCCGGGACCCTTTGGTCCGCAGGCCAACGCTCTATCCACTGAGACAAACCAGTCAGGGCCTACCCATTCTTAATCATCTAAATAAGTGACTAATAAAAGTACTATATAACATCTGGAAAATTACTCGTTATTCCAATCATCAGCTGTTAACTACACTAATGTTTTCAGTAAAGGAGAAACATCAATAACAAGTAAGCCTACCATTCAGGAGAACAACTGTATACTATAGGGGCAACGGCGACAGACGTACAATATTTTCGGCATATGTTTAGAAGAGAACTTATAACCATCATCATCTACAACGTACTGAGTGCTTCCTACACACTTACACTGTATTACGGCCTGACATGTACCATGTTTCATTTAGTCATCACTACAACCGTCTAAGCTGGATTCTATTATCATTCTCTGATGACAAAGGAGGCACCAAGATGCTAGTTTGTATAGGGTCAAAGTTGATTCCACAGCTGGCATTCAAACACAAGTCCAATTTGGCTCCAAAGCAAAAATCAGTATCTTTCCAGGGGTCTGAGCCCCTATGGTGAATGCTATGACAGGAAATAATGCCTGTGCCAAGGCAGGCATACAATTTTAAGTCCCAAATCAGAGTTTGGCACACTTTTTCTGTAAAGGGCCAGACAATACATAGTTTAGGCTTTGCAGGCAATGCTAGCTCTGTGGCAAGAATGCAACTCTATTGCTGACCTGCCAATGCAGCCACAGACAACCCCTAAACAGACAAGAAGGGCTGTGTGCAAGTTAACCTTCTCTTATGGACACTGATATGTGAATTTCATATAACTTGCACATGTCATGAAATATTATTATTCTTTTGGTGTTTTATCAAGCACTTAAAATTTTTTAATCATTCTTGGTTTGTAGGCCATACAAAAAAACCAAGCTGCAGGCCGGATTTTGCCAATTCTGTCCTAAATAATGCGGGGGGGGGGGGGGGGGGGAATATATATATATATATATCTGAACAGCTCTTCTCACAAATCCTAACTTGTAACCTTCCTTTGATATTTTGAAGTGAGGCTTTAAAAAACCTCAAAGTCTCTCTCAACTTTGCCATCTGCCCCAGAATAATCAAATACTCCAAAAGTTCCAAAGGGTAGGTGCTATGTGATGGATTTCCTAAGGATGAGGCAGAATCACAGAATTTGGGAACTGGAAGCGATCTAACACCTTCTCGTTCCTCATGAGGCTTGAACTACCCAATGAACAATGTTTAGTTTGTTTCATGCCATTTTTCCTTCTGCTCCCACCCAGGGTCTTCTGAAGAAAACAGCAGCCAGGCCCTGCCACTTGTTAAATGTATTTACAGTCAACAGTGAATCCATATACGCGATGCAGACAATACACCCAGCCCAGCTTGGAAAGGGAAAACACTGCTAAGTCATCTAAAGAAAGGATAAGAGGAAGAGAGAGAGAAGTGAGGATGGATGTATTGACACGAAGATCTCAGCCCCACTGCGGATTAATTAGCCTCTGGTGATTGGAAAATGACCTGGGGGGTTGGGAAGCGAAAATAAAAGGAACATATAACTACTGGAATTCAAACCAACATCAAAGACTCTCGTGACAGTTGAGCCTGCCTGGCTGCTTCTTAGTCTCTCCCTGGAAAACAAAACAGTTATGTAACTGCAAAAGGTCCTTGCAACTCACATTTCCTCTCTGGGCCGCTTAGCCCCGTGTCACCCACCTCCATGTGCACCACCGTCCTCCACCCCAGCTCGGTTGGACAAGCCTCTGTCCAAAGTGCTGCTCTGTTCCGCGGCCTGCTCTCAAGCCGATGGGGAGAAGATATCTGGCTGGAGCACAATTGCAATCTCCCACCACCGTAGAGACTTCCTCTACTAAGCATCACCGCACCCTCGAGTTTAAAACTAAACTGGACTCTAGCTCTTCCTGAAAATGGCAATCAGAACAGCATCCTCCCCCGTCTTCGCAAACAGCCCTATTAAAAAAGAGTCCGCACCAACGAGTAATTGAAAAACTTTGAGATCATGCTGTAGCAGCAATGAAAGCTTCTATGTCCTGCACTCTCAAGTCCAAGGAGCAAATGTCAGGCTTCCCCGTCAGACTTCCATTCACCCAATAAGAAAAAAGAAAAAATATATATATATATATGAACGAATCACAACCATCACTACCCAAAGCTACTGCAACAATAAATCCAAATACTGGACCGAACTAGCACATTTTCTGGACTCTGAGCCACTGTCCTCTGGCACCATATGCTTTTTTCTGCTCCCAGGAGAAACAGGAATACAGACAACGTTTCCAAAAGCCAACAATGTATCAGGAGTTATTCCCATTCAGCCTGACCTAAAAGGTCTAAATCTGTGCCAAATAAAAGTCGGAAAGAATGGGAAATAAAAGAGAGGCTGACGACAATGCAATGCGGCCCAGCTGCCAGCTACCCATGTAGCATCATGCAGTGCCCCAAGCATCGCAAATTGCAATTCTGCGTGCGGATCAAAATTATAATTATCCCAATTCTATTTCCTAAAAGCTAACTATTAAACTGCATCCCAAGCATCCGGCTTTGGGGGGGGGGGGGGGAGGTTGTCAGGGGGAGGGTATCCGGGTATCCTTCTGGCCTCCACCTTCTTTAAGCTTCAGCAAGAGAAGGTGATGCGAAAAGGGGTCCAGAAGTAGGACCACAACTAAGAAATCAGGCTGGACGCTCTCCTCCTACCGTGTCCTGGGATCAGTGTGCTAAAATTTTCAACATAAATATTTAAAGTCAACAAAATGAGAAAAGCTAGATAAGGGGGTGGCGGGGAGTTCAAGGGAGGGGGGCGGATATGCACTAAGTCACCAGTGTCGTCCAATATGTAGCAGCAACTTCAGCCAATTGGAACGATGGGAGGGAAAACTCCACGGGAGTCCCCGCGAGCTGAGACCTGTCGCCCAGGCTGCCCCCCCCCATCCCCCATGGGGGGCGGCACCGGAGGGAAGGATCGCGGCGGTCCCCCCGAGAGCGGTGCCCTCTGCCACCCCGGGAGTCGCGGCTCGAGCCCGCCGGGAGCCTCGCGGGGAGCCCCGCACCGCAGCCCCGCAGCGGCCAGACCCGCCGGGCCCGGTCCGCCGAGGCCCTGGGGCCACGGGCGATGCTGGCGCGGAAGGCGGTCGGCCGAGCCGGTCCCCCCCGGGAGGCTGGGGCAGCGAGTGCGGAGGGACCGGCGAAACCCGAGATGGTCTAAGCACATTCCATCCGGAACCTTGACTTGAAAAAAGCATTTTTTCTTTCCAAAAAGGAAAGCAAGGCCCCCGCAGCCTTCCCCGCAGGCGCCTGCCCACGTCACCGGCGCCCCCGGCCCGCCCGCGGCCCCCGCCTTACCGAGCCCCGCGGCCCCGCCGCGCCGCTGCGGCCTCGCTGCGCCCCAATCGCCGCTCCGTGTCTGCCCTCTGCGGGCGCCGGGCCCGCCGCTCGCCGCTCCGCCTCCTCGTCCTCCCGGTCCTCGCCGCCGAGCACCGCCCGCGCCGCGGAGCCTAGCGCCTGGCCGCCCGGGGCAGCCGCGGAGGCTTGGCCGGGCGCCCCCCGCGCCAGCGCCTCATCCCGCCGGGCCGCCCGTCAGGCTCGGGGGGGCGGGGACGCCGGGCTCCCGGCGCGGCCTCGCGGGCCCCGCCGCCGCCACGCACCGCGCTCGCCGCCCGGCGGAGTCGGCCGGGGTCCGCGATCCTCCGATCCGCCGGCTCGGAGCCCCTCGCCCGCCGCCCCAGAGCCGCCCCGCCGCGCCCCCGCCCCGCTCGCCGCGCGCGCCCGGCCTCCGCCTCCTCCGCTCCGCCCCCCGCACCGCGCCGCCCGCCGCGGGAGAAGAGGCGCGCCGCCGGGGCCGCGGGCGCGAGGACGCGCGAGGGGGGCGGGCGGAGCGCGCGCGCGGCCGGGGGCGGCGGGGGCGCGCCCGGGCCTCGCCTGCTGTTGTCCCGGGAGCGCACGTGGACGGCGGGGGGCGCCCCGAGCGTCGGGGCCCGGAGACCCTGACCCAGGAGTTCGGGCGCCGTCCTGTGCCCCGGTTTCTGCGCTGCAGGAATAGAAACCGGGCCGCCGCGGCGCTGACACCGGGGAAGAACCCTCCACGGAGACTACGGCAGTGGCTCCCCTCCACTCCCGCTGACCCCCGGAGGCTGTCACCACGCGGGGGAGGATGCGGGGGGGGCGGGGTGGAGGATGGGGGGCGGGGGGGCGTTGCCGGCAGCCAGGAAGCTCGTCGCCTCTCCATCGCTCGTTCATTTGGATCTCAAATCAGCGCGCACCGGTTATTATTGGGAATGAGGGGTCTAAAAGTTCCTTCGGTGGCTCCTCCATTCAGGGTTAGGGGCCGGGAGATGGGAAGTGACATGGCAGGGGAGAGGAGAGGCAGGGTGAAAGCCGACCTGGAGATAGGGGCGTGGGCAGACCGAGGAGAGACTTTGGAGCTGACAGGGGACCCCCCTGCCTGTGGGTGGCACTGACCTCGCTGCTCCCCCTATTCCTTTTGTTCAGACCCTGTGCAGCGGCCTCCACGGAAACAACCATCTGTGTAACAATATACTTGATCTTCTACCATCTATTTTCATTGTTTCTTTTATCTTCCACTCCTTCTGACCCATTTGATAGCTAAATGTTGGCGGGAGCGGGAGCTGGGGCGGGGGGGCGGGGGGGAGGGCACATAACCTGCCTAATGTAACTCTTAGTCCTACATCCGCCAATGCCACTGCAGTGATTCGGGTTCACCGAGCACTTAGCCATTTTAGAGGGAATTATTGAATATAAAACGTGGTCTTGCTCGCCCTTAGCAGGATTTCAAGGGCGTGGAGGTGAGGCAGGAATTCATCACATTCTGGAGAAATCGGGGAGTGCACATGGAGGGTGATCCCACGCTGGCCCGTTCCAGTATAATCAGCAGTTGAGGAAGATTGTAGATGTTTCCTAGCAGAGAACAAGGAACGGGATGGAATGAGAGGATTTGCTCAGAGGCACAAACTGAGGTGGGAAAACTTCAAGAAGCCTTTTATATTTATTTGTTTGTTTATTTATGTGATATATTGATTTTAGCTAGGGAGATAGAAACATCAATGATGAGAGAGAACCATGGATCAGCTGTCTCCTGCACGCCCCCCACTAAGGATCAAGCCTGCAGCCCCCTGCATGTGCCCTGACTGGGAATGGAACCGTGACCTCCTGGTTCATAGGTCGATGCTCAACTACAGAGACACGCTGGCCAGACAGGGAGCCTTTTTTAAAATAAATGTGTCCTGATATATAGCCAATTCCTGGGAAAAGGTGCAGTTAGGACCCATAACTCTTAACGGGTACTTCCTAAGTGCTAGGGAGACAGCAAAGGACATGAGGAAAACTAGAGGCCTTTAACTTCAACATACGCCCAGGGTTTAAAAATTGCTTTCTCCAAACTGCAACCGTTTCATGGTTACCTCTTTTGACCACAGAGAGCCGTCTCTGCCGGAGTGGGGCAGATATGCTCGTGTGGGGCCTGGAAATGGTGAACATTAAACTTCAGGCCTCCTGCGATGTTAAGAGGGAGTCAGTATAGGACAGGGGTCGGTAAACTCATTAGTCAACAGAGCCAAATATCAATAGTACAACGATTGAAATTTCTTTTGAGAGCCAAATTTTTTAAACTTAAACTATATAGGTAGGTACATTGTTATTAACTTAATTAGGGTACTCCTAAGGCTTAGGAAGAGCCACACTCAAGGGACCAAAGAGCCGCATGTGGCTCTCGAGCCGCAGTTTGCCGACCACGGGTATAGGACAATAAACCGAGTCACCATGGGAAGCAAGTTTTGCCCAGGGCTCTGGTCCCTTGACTACTCTCGTGTAAGACAATGATCATCTGTATTCTTTGCATGAAGCCTTCTTCACATCTCAGAGTTTGGTCATCCCATCCCAAAATTCAGCGGCATTGGTTGCATGTTAAATGGTTTACGCTCAGCCGGTGGGAAAGGTGAAAATTATAAAAAGGAGCAGGGACCCATGCCTACATTGGATGACAGATATTTACTTCATTCTCAAAACATGTTGGTATCCCAACCGCCCCCTCCCCCCTTGGTATTATATCGCGTTCCTTAGGCGTCTCCCGAATGTCAGCGAGGTCTGAGCAAGCTCCAGGGGGCTGGTGTTCCTCACACTCCTTCAGAGCCAGTGCTCCATCTCCTTGGAAAGAAGCATTCAAATGTCCTATGAATAAATAGTCAGTCTTGCTAACCCTGCAGATAAGCTGAAGTCCATGACTTCTGGACAGCTCTGCACCATCTGCACTTACTTTTCAGATGTTTGCAACCCATGGCCTCTAACCTACTAATACCCTTAGAGATTCAATACACTTATCCCCAAAACTGCAGCACTTCCTAAAAAAAAGAAAACGCCTGTCCAGCTGTAAAATAATGTACAATAACTGTATTTGTTATGGTTTGATTCAGTATTCCCAAGGTGAGGGGCAGGAGGGGAAAGAAAAAGCATATTCTCTCTCTCTCTCTCTCTCTCTCTCTCTCTCTCTCTCTCTCTCTCTCTGTTGGAGGCCTCAGCCTGGCCTCCTTTCTAGGCCTTGGCACTGTCATCTTCTGCTGGTAGCATCTGGGCTCGCTCCTGGCACCTTGGATCGGTGGCACTGCAGTCCCCTCCAGGCACTGAGCAGCGTCATGGTGCAGACAAGTAGAGCCAGCCAGGACAGCAGCCACACAGGGGATTGCAGCACACTTACCTAACCTTGACGTTGAGAGCGAGCCTGGGAACTGAGCAAGGGACAGAGAGCAAGCTTATTCTCATCCCCACATTGAAGGCTCAACAGCTGGCTTGAGAAAAACGAGTTGCTGAAAGCAGGCCAGGCTTAATGGAGAATTTTCCCAAAGTGACATTTGACATTGCCTTGTTTATTTATTTTTTCCTGCCCAAAGGAGCAGTGCCATATTGTGCCCCCATAAAACAGAACAGCAACATACATTTCAAAAAGGCGTGTTGTCTGTGTGTAGCATTCTCCTAGCTCAGGAGTGGGGAACCTTTTTTTCTGCCAGCCCAGGGCCATATAGATATTTGTAACATCATTCGAGGGCCATACAAAATGATCAATTTAAAAATGAACCTGCTGTGTTTGGCCAAACATTTAATTTACTCACCCCTAATGCCTTGGCAGGGCCAGACCAAATGATTTAGTGGGCCTTATAAGGCCCGCGGGCCGGACGTTCCCCACCCCTATCCTAGCTAATATGGATGCCCATGGGGTAGCCTCTCAAAACATTGAACCCTTTACAACAAAACTACTATTGAGCAACACTTTAGGGCAGTGATGGCGAACCTATGAACTCATTTTTTGGTTGATTTTTCTTTGTTAAATGGCATTTACATATATAAAATAAATATCAAAAATAGAAGTCTGTGTTTTACTATGGTTGCAAAGATCAAAAAATTTCTACATGCCAAAACCGGTTTGGCTCAGTGGATAGAGCGTCGGCCTGCGGACTGAAAGGTCCCAGGTTCGATTCCGGTCAAGGGCATGTACCTGGGTTGCGGGCACATCCCCAGTGGGAGATGTGCAGGAGGCAGCTGATCGATGTTTCTCGCTCATCGATGTTTCTAACTCTCTATCTCTCTCCCTTCCTCTCTGTAAAAAATCAATAAAATATATTTTAAAAAAAAAATTTCTACATGTGACACGGCACCAGAGTTAAGTTAGGGTTTTTCAAAATGCTGACACGCCGAGCTCAAAAGGTTCGCCATCACTGCTTTAGGGAGTAGTCAGTAGTCCTATTCCCTGTGGATGGGACAAATCCCTGGGGATCTGAAATGATCATTTTCCCCATCGTCTCTCCTCTCCGGGCCACATTTCAGTTCATTATTCTCTATCATGGTAGTTTAGAACTTTTGCTTGTTTTCCCACAAATAATTTTTTTTCAGTTCTTAAAGCTTAACACCAGCTGGACCCATCACATGTCTGCTCCTGAACGGTTCAGACAGTAGCTCCTTGTCTACTTCCCCCACTAGTAGAGGTCCTTCACCTCTTGCAGAATTCTAAATGTTGACTGCCCCCGGGTTCTGGCCTTCAGCCTTTCCCGTTCTCTTTCTGCTCTCCCTCCCAGGGCAGCCCCCAGCCGCCCTTGGCTGTAAATAGCCTCCATTCAGTGATGTATATCTTTAACCTTGACCTCTCCCCTGCACTCCGGGCTCAAATATCCAGCTGCCTATATGACATCTCCACTTGGATATCTCAAACTCAATGTGTCCACAACTGAACGCTTGTTTTTCCACATTAAAAACAAAACCCAAAGTTGCTTCCTGCAAGTCTGCCCCATCTCAGAACAAAGGCATCCCTTTCTCTCAAACACCACATTCATTGTGGCAGCGAAGCCTTCCAGCTCTACCTTCAAAACGTATACTGAATCTAATCTCTTCCCTCCCTCTTAACCACTAATACCTACATCTGCACCCTCCAAGCCCTGCCCCCATCCTCCATGATCTCCCTCCTGGGTGACTAACTGGTCTCCTTGCTTTCATTCTTTCCCCTCTACGGTCTCAACTCAGCAACCAGAGAATTTTTTTAAAACTTTAGTAAGATAATGTCATTCTCCTCACTCAAAACGCTCCAGCGCTCTATGCTGCTAATCACACTACATTAAAATTCAAAGTCCTTTCCCCAGCCATGCAAGCCCTTCGGCCCCTAGTCACCTCTCCAGCTGTTACCTCTTTCATTTAAAAAAAAAAAAGTATTTTTTTATTGATTGCAT